TTCTCGCCTTTCTCCAGTCTTTACAGCTGTTTTTTGTTATTAATTGTTTTTATAAAATGACGTTTTTGCAACTATATATGAATGAAAAATGCTCATGGGTATCGCCACAGTCGTCGTCATTAGACAGCGAAGGAAATCAGTCCACTCGGTTACCAAGTTTTGTTTTTCCCATAAATCATAGTGGTACCAAAAGTTTTTAGATTAATCCATCTATTAGCATCAAACGGTTAGACGGCTTTGACAGGGATTTGGAGGTGTTCTTTCCCTAGGGAATCATTCTCATCTCCCGCCCTCCGTGGTTTGTGAGAAAATATTTTCTTGTCTTTGACTATTTAGGCGTGACTTGTTTCAGTCCACTACGGTGACATCCTCTCGAAATCCAGAGATGTTATAAAAATAATAGCTCGGCGACGTCGCAAAATGGTGTGAACAGCCTCAGGACTCGTGGCATTGTCGCGAGTGCACAGAAGGCTACGACACCTTCTGGGGTTCAAAACGACGACAAACAAATACTGTCACACAATAAGAGATAGCAACAAATACGTTCGTCCGGACTTTTACTCGGGAATGCTTGCTGCAGGAACGGCATTTTCGAATTGTGTATTCACCGATGAATGTTCTGTGCAAAGTCTGAATAGCAGTTACGTTCAAAGAAAATGAATGTTAGGCTTCCTCAATTCTATGTTCAGTTGGCTGTTCAACCTACTAAACCAAGTACTGCTTCGTAAAACGAGAGGATCAGTACTTGAAGATGAGAAGTAGGATCAAGTATGCCGCAAAGGTCCACATATGGGGTGGTATCCCAGGTAGAGGACCACATAATTCGCCATTCTACCAGGAACAAGCCGAAGCAATAGCGAACTGTATTGTAGAATCCCAGAAAGATGCTAGATTAATAATTACTCAATAATTTAACAATAATATTAACGACATTAACTAATAATTTAACCTTTGTAAGGACTCACGACTTTCGAGAGCTGGGGAGTGACCTACCCGCTGATGGTAGCGTAGACGAGTCTGTAGAAGACCGAATAAACGCGGGAGATGGAGAGCAATGTGCCCACTGGTATCCTTTGCGATAGAAGGAGTTCCAGAAGTTTCATGGATAGATATATCGGACAGTAGTAAGAGTACAGAGTACAGTAGCGAGTGCAGCGCTTGCGATGGTATGGTCACGTGGCACAAAAAAAAACACAACATCACCCGATTAAAGGGTCAAGGGAATTTGAAGCTCAAGGGGAGCGACTACGAGGAGTGGAAGGGCTCTATCAAGAAGCACCTCTCGGAAGACGTCGGAAGATGCCACAGATTGGAAGAAGTGTGACAGCTGACACGAACCGCAGACAAGGCGACTGCGCAGTATTAACAAAAAAACGGAGTAAAAGAAGGGGGCATCGCTCTGAAGGTACTGGAAACGCTCACGAAGGATGCTGACCACATATTCAAAAGCCACAGCAGACATGTTTTCAATGGTTAATTGTAATCGACAGTAACTCCGGAGCTGGAGACGAAGCTAACAAAGTTAGAAGCCCGTGCTTTTTGTAATTCCAAATGGAACAACTCATTTAGCGTTATGAGTTCCAAAGTAATCGTCTCCCTAGGCGTGAACTGACAAGGCATAACAATACTGCTAACAAGCAAATATGCCAAAGTTGTGGCAAGAGAAAGTCATTAACCTATAGGTCAGGAAAAAGGACTGGTCTTAATTCGGTCACAGCTCTGGGCCTTATGACCACTCAGAATCGATAAAGCCAACTAATATTAACGTTCAGATTAACTAATCACTTATCACAAGAAAAAAATCGAGCCAGTTCCACTCACAAAGTAGTTGACGCAGGCACTACTTGAGCCTACTCATAAGAGCAGGTCACAATTGCAGCATTGGCCAAAGCCACCACCCTTTCTACTTGCCCAGGGCCTCTCTTCGGAGTGTCGTATATGTGATGAGCAGTAAGAGACGTCGTCTATGGGACACAGATGAAGGTCCAGCCCCTTGTATGGTGTTGGTAAGCATTTGCAAAGTGCTACCTTGAAGAGAAATAAATGTGATCGCATCTAGCACCCTTTTTCTCTGCGCTCTCCTACACTCTCACCCGACAGCCCTCACTGTAGCTCCGCCTACTCGACGGGGTTATATATAAGCGCGAGTCATTCATTGACCTGTGAACATTGAACATAACATACAAGATTGAACTTGGGGACATGAGCCCTAAACTTATAGCAGACGAAGCTGGAGTGAAGTTTTGCGCTCCAGCTATCTAACTATTGTGAAGTGGCTGTTAAGCTCTTGCAAAATGTTCGTGGGTATGAAGACTTAGCGTCTCTTAACAATGGCTTGGTGCATCCATTTTTATCACATTTTTGCTCTACGTAAATTGTTTCTGCATGCCGAATGGAATATCTGCAGTTCATTAAAATATCTCAACAAAACATGCTAAGGTTGAAATTTCATCTCGGCGGTGCGGCTAATGTGAACCGGGAGATCTATTGGATACATCCTTTTTTCACTAGTGTAGTTGGGGTTTGGCATCTTCTCCCCGAACGGCGGGTCGCGCTCGCCGCACGGGATCGCGCGCTATGAAGGAAAGATTTGAATTGCCAATAGAAGGGTACGGAGAGTCGCCGCGACACCACTGCCGCAGGCCGTGGAAATTCGGGGAGAAGTTCCGTAACCCGTGTAGTTGATTTCTCACGTGTAAGTATTTCGTGAGAGGCGGAACGTCCGTGGGTCCGCGGATGCGTGCGGCGAAGTTCATGGCACTTTGAACGACTTCAGCTCCTATCGTTGGGGCCCATATTTGAAGTACAGTAGATTTGTAGGATCGGCTGACCCTCAAATCCACTCCACTTCGAGTCTGTGTCCCAACGATGGGGCGCTAGAGTCGTTTACATGTGCTGGCACAGCGTAATGTGTTGGAGGAGCAGACTACAGAGATTTGTAGAAATATAAAGGAGCAAAAGAATCAGTTATTCCTCGTTGAAGTCAGAAAAGGCGCTGTGGTGGAATTCAGGGTAGTACAAGTGAGAATTGTGCTCATGCCATAACAAACACAGTACAGGGATGATTTAGAATGCTTTTATCGACATGTTTAAATACTCTCAAGTGACCTATTGATGGTGTCCGAACAAAGCAATCCAAGGTGTCTAGATAGGCATGAAAGTTTACTCCGTGGTAACTGCTTGCCTGCAGGCGTCTTGGTAGAATGTTTTCACCAATAATTTTTTTCCTCTTTTCCACAACTTTCCTACGATTTCTTTAACTTTCAAGCTTTTGATGCTTTATATTTCATCTGTTATTTATTCTTGTTTTGCTTTAATTCTATTTCTCATGCTTCAAAAGTTGACAAATTTCTAATTCACACTACCGTCAATGTTACACATGAGTCTGGTCTGGCGGCGGGGAACGTGCGATACATTCGCGACCTCATCAGATTTCTTCGCGCACGCCGCCTGCGACACACTGTGCAGCAAATTACGTCGCGATTTCGATGCGGTCGCGATCGTGCCCTTCAGTTGGAATAGGCCAAGCGAGATTGACAATGATGCCCCTTGGACATTAAGGATTTATTTCATTTACTTACTTGTAAAACGTTCAAAACAAGAAAAACTTCGATTGTGTCAATCCTAATGAACGTACACTTCCTGAAAACGAGCACAGTTGACCATTTTTTACTTGTCTTCTATGGCTTCCATATTTCCCATTACGATCGTAGCCATGCCGTCTCGTCCACCGCACCGCGCCGAGGCTGACCTTGCCGTTCTCGCCCTATCAGCTTCAGGTATTAATCACACCACAAACCTGGCAAATAAGTCGACAGGCAATAAGCAGGTCACTCTACAGGCAAGATAGTGGAGGTGCAAAGAAGGTACGAGGTCGTTAGATTTGTAGTAAATGGGCATACCCGTCTCGGACTTTCAATTCCCGTGCCTGGAAAAAACAAGCACTGGTCCGCGTCCCATCAAGAGTGAGCATTTTCCCATGATCGCCATGACAATTAACAAAAAACAACAAGTAAGAACTAGTAAATCTATGATGAAAAGATCGCACAACTTCAATTGAGTATCTACTGATATTACAATATACTACTACTACCAACCTGCTCAGACAGAAAATGGTTGCGGCAATAGGTTGACCGTATGGTGATTTCCACAGAAGAGGAGAGAATTCACGCAATTACCTTATCAACAGTGTTTCGACTGTATCCACTAATGTCTAACCGCTGGCCTTCCTTTTCCGATCCTGCCAATTTGCTCAGTCTATTGCAACGACTACTGTATTACTAGTTTACTTTTTTCTTGCATTCTTCCCGAGATTTGTAAATAAGCTTTATTAGGATGACGTTTCGGCGTAGTCGTCTTCTTCAGGGCCTGTTATTAGCTAGGCATAATCCTTTCAGGCTCTTAAGGCGACAAGCCTTACATGGAAGCAATGATTACTACTTGAGATGTCTCTTTTCTCGTTTTGTGAAATGCATGTGAAAGAAACTGAGCTCGAAGTGGTTCCAACAGTATCTCACTATTGAGGGAGCCTTCATGTCCACCTGTGGCATACCTGGTTTGAACCATAGTCATTAACAGCTGCATAATAGGCGGTAGGTTTGCAAGGTCAAAAAAAAAAAAAGGATTCTTGATGAGCATGGCTTGTCGAAAGTTGGAAAATAATTCCAGACCGTTAAGGTAGAAGCTTAAGTACCCTTATTATGCATGTTAAAGTATGTGTGTATGTTAGTATGTTTAAAATGTAGACCACTCATCAGGAGGAACATAATCATCAAGTATGGAAACACATAAATGCAATTTATTGTACGCGATGGAAGAGGAAACGCCCACCTCGAAAAAAAAAACAACCTCTTCATTAAATTCGAGAGCAGACACAAAATGTAGCTTTCAGATCCGCAACCAAAGAAGAGTCGACAGGTATACAGTCCATTTTCGCGTATATCCACTATATAGGCTTTCTTTTCAGGTATAAAAAAACACCGGTATGCTAAATGCTCTGACTACATCTTCTTCTTCACTGCATCAGTCGACAGCACCTTCTTGCGTTGAGCGAACATATATAAGTACAATTGAGGAAAACCTAGAATTCAGCACAGCTTCAAAACAAGAAGACAATTATAATTCATTAAAAGTGAGAAAAACTCATTTACACTATTCCCATTACTACACATTACCTTTACTACACATTATCTCATGATCTGAACTAACCTGGAATGTAAGATAGTGCTATTCCAATCAATACCCAGTAAAAGGAGATACCCATGTTAAGCGCGTTCGGCATTTCCAATGAGTAGTACTTCTTTTCGTGGACCTGAAACAAATTTTCACTCTTTTGCGCTTAGGGTCTGGGCATAAAGAGGGCGAGCTTCATGCTTAACATAATATCAAAAATGGAAATCATTGATGAGGCAAATACAGCCCTTTTAGAATGGGAGGAAGGGAAACACTGAGGCAAGATTAAAGATCAAGTAGTTTGAAGAAGACTTACCTCAGGAAGGCTGGCGAAGAGAGTCAAAAGCTCGCCGGTAACACCGAGAGGGTACAGAACGATAAAGAATGTGTACCTAGAAAAATAAAGCTGAAGTAAGATGGGCTCGAACAAGTACAAATTTCCAAGACCGACAGTTTTATTCAAGTTCTAGCAACTACAAGATAGGGAAGGGGATGTCGTGAAATCCGCAGCTTTCTTTATATTACGAATTGAGGTAAGGAAACTGTCCAACTAAAAATGCCGGGAGAATAAATCCCTACCTTACTCGATGACTGCCCCGTATTTTGATCAATGGTCGATTGTTTCTATAGTTTCACTAAAAGATACACTTTACCATTAAGGTTCTCTTTCGTTCTCGATAGACATAGACAAAAACAGGCACTAACGACGTTGAAATACGTGTTGGTTCCTACATGGCACATTTATAGTAAGTGCGCTTTAGATACATGCATAAAAATACAGATAAGCGCATTTTCACGCAGACTAGTGCGTTTTTTACGCAGATATTCGCGTTTTACGCATATATCTGCGTAAAAACGCAGGTACTCCGCTCGTCTGCACCCTTCCCCTGGGGTGTGTTTCGTTCTTAACGTCAACGAAACTAAGTCACGCCGCATAGGTCGTACACGGCAAAGCCCGACTGCGATTCCGAGATGGACAAGTTGCATTTGAACCGAGCAAGGGATATACGGTTCGTAATATCCTACCGGTTCGAATACAACACCGGTGCTGCAGCGCTTCGGCATATTCCTGTTAGTAGGAGATTTCCTTCGAATCACCGCTTCACAGCTTTATTTCCTAATTTCTCTATTTTCCACATGGAGAAACTCGACCCGCCTTATTCTTCACTTTGCTTCCTCACCAAGCAGACCTCATTCGCTCAATGGCCACGTTCCAGATTGCATTCAAATAATCGCGCACGGTGAAATAATTCAAACCGCTAAATTCAAACGTGTCCATCTCGGAATCGCAGTGTTCACCGCCGCGTGCGACGTGACCTAGTTTCGTCGACGATAAGAATGAACGTTCCTGTTCTCGCTGGCATGGTGCTCTGTAGTTCGTAAATGCTGCCATGAAGACATTCGATAAGTAAAATACAGGAAACTAACATCTGTTACTAACGTAACATCTAACACAACTATTTCGGTAAAAGAGGGCAAACAAACAGGAAACGATGCTTGATTTTCGCCGTGGTGCTTATTAGCATGGCAACAAATGAAAATGTGGGACCAGACGGAATATATGAGAGGAAATGATGACTTTTAGTCGCACCTTATCCATGTAAGAAAATACGGCACTGCGTTGAAGAGGGCAAGAGCGTAATACGAATATCTCACTACTTCAGTGACCGACCATGCCATCAACAGCATTGGAACTCCAACGCTTCCTCGTGCCTAGAGCAAAATTGATTGAATTTACATAAAAGAAAAGGAATTAAAATTTGGAACAGTTCCTGTCCTAACGTGCAGCAATAATGCAAAATAAGGAAACACCGGTCTAAAAGATATGAGGCAAATCGGCTAAAACAGAAACATACTATCGAACATGTGTGGAGGATCGGCCAAACCAATACTACACGACTCGTGATTTGCATGATTGTAGTTCCAACAGGAGAGCGAACCAGACCAAGTATTGCATGCACCACATGAAAAAAAAAGATCTTCAGATGTAGGTATAATGTCAAAATTGACACTCACTCCTTTTTCAAAACTGAAATGAACTTAATCTGCTCAGAAGCTTGATTACATTAATAACTATCACGGTAATAAGGACATTAGTAACCCTAAACAAGAATAGATCAAAATAAAGAGAAAACTCACTTCCAAAATAGCAAGAGTCTGGAACAGCTTCACCTCAGCTTCAACGGAGGTATATAACTGAGGCCATGAGAGATGCTCTGCGATTCCATGAATGGTCTTGAGGAGGATGATACCCCAGCTGAAAAGTTCATTCAGTAGTCAAAGAAACGTGGAACGTTGCAGAACGAAGTGTGAAGAACTTTTGGCGTAAAACAACCCCATTTTTGGCTCCAATTGCGCCCCAGCAATCGGCTACCTTCCGGAATCGTAAGGCGTTTTGAATGCGTATTTCCTATACCATGACCTGGTGGCTCGAGGACGTAGGAGCAAAGGGTATTTTTGGTTTAGCGGAGGTGGTGAGTGGAAAATGAGGCTGTGATAGTACGTAGCTGGGGGAGGAACATGCGACCATTTCTAGCGCGGCGAAATTCGTGGTGATTCAAACAACTCCGGCGCCCACCATTTGGGCACAGATTTGAAGTAGGGTCACTTGGTCCTACATATCAAATCTAATAAAAACCTTGCTTGAATGATAGGCCCAGAGTCGTTTAAATCACCATAATTTCCCTGCGTAGTTCGCCGCGTCCATCCAAAAATGGGTGAATGTACCCATACCCTACGCAGCTAAACATTGCGGAATAGCAAAACTGCTAGTGAAACCCGGAAAACTTGCTCTCTTAATCCAATTATCATGTGTACTGCGAGGCGACTATTCTTAAAATTGAGTTAGGGTGATACAGCACTGTTCTTGAACAACCTCGAACAAGACAACGAAAAGAAAAGGGTACTTAAGAAAATCGTTTTCTCGACTCCGTGGTCGGCTATAAGAAACAAACCACTACGCGACCGCACGCTCAATTGTCACATATTCGCATGAGAACGGATTCTTCAGGGTAATATACAGAGCACGTGCTTGAGCGATTACTGTGGCACGCTATTTCATGCACTGCTAAGGTCAGGATTACGCTTGAATCTGATAGGCTGGGAAGGATTCCTTGCCAGAGTGAAAGATAAGTTTTGAAAAATGATTAATGAGTACCTTGAATCCAAAACAACAGAAAGTTACCGTTACTGCAAAGACTGATCCTGATTTTTAACCAAACCTAGTGATTTCAAGTAATTAAGGCCGAAGAACAAGTAAACTAACAATGAGGTAATTACCCGAGGAATTGGACGGCATTATAAGCGAATAGGTAAAGCTGTGACGGCTTCATAATAGAATCGTCTACGAACTGAAGTGCGGACGGCCCACGTTGAGCTAGTAGTTTTTTCGTCCTGTGCACAAATTCGGCACCCCCCGTACCCAGCTCGCTGAAACATGCAAAAAATAAGTGATTTGGATGAAAGAGGAGATGAAAATGCGGGGAAGGCGGAAGAAGCGACGATTGCAAGTAAACAGTAACGTGTTCATAAAAAGGCTTCTAAAAAACGCTTATTCAGCAAAAAAGGCAGTTGATTGAGTGATCAAACGGCGAACCAGCGCACCAGAGCGAATGACAGAGCAAGTGGCGCGATATGACCACATCATTTTAGTGAAAAGTGATAAACCACTTCGCTGATATGAGGGCGAAGGCCATTTACAAGGCGGGTGCTCATTTTAAAATCACTTTCAACACTATACGCCATAGGGGAGCTCCCTATGCATGGTAACTTAAAGGTAAGCAAAGTATTCCACATAAAAACAGCTAACCAAGACCAGACCTGGATACAAGGCGGATTCAAATGTCCCGTGAATAGGTGTTTCCTAACTCCATCGACATGCACTCTCTTCACCAACCGACCGATCGACGACGTTGTTAGCCATGTGTTAGCAACGTTGGACCCGATCGTGGAGCACGTCAGCGGCGCCGCGGACGCTCACGCGGTCCTAAACGCGATCTATCTTGCGTTGTCAACACGTGGCCATGATCGTCGTTGGTCGGTAGGTCCGTCGGTGAAAAAAAGAAGAACATAAACAAAAAGCGAGTCAAGCCTTAAAGCGTGAACGGTTGCGTCGCGGCATGCCGCAAACTAGGATGTTCCTAACCATTGCCGCTGGAGCACGTTATTATACCTCCGCATACTCTCGTATGAATACATTTTTAAACTATTAATTTCCTGATCGGCCGAGGTTTATGAACGATAATACTGAACAAATAGGAATCGTGCTATTATACGACTATAAAAGATTTGATGTTGGCGTATATAATACATGCGAGTAAACCAGTGGAGCGATTGCAAGTAATTTTGTAGGTGACAAATATATTGATTCAATATCTGAGAGAATACAGGTTAGTGAATAGACATGTTCGCATGGTATGGGAACATTAACAAAAATAACAACTGGTAATAATATATCAGTGAGTCTATACGTAATGCAAAGGTAATATGTAAGTGCAATGACTATCGTAATACCACAGAAATACCTAACAAGTAAGTAGACATTAAGTCATGAAGCAAATGAAGAAGATATGGGTAGGATCTTGGGGGCGATGTAATTCTGAAGCAATTCAAATGTACGCAATTGTTCAGCCTGCATAACATCCATTCGGTGAGCTATACTGAGCGCTTGCGTGGCTGCGCCTCCTCTGAAAAAGTGTGATGTTATGCTGAACCAGTGGAGATTAGCCCAGCTCAAGATATGCATAAGTCTGCCCTTCAAGGTCGAGAGAGCTATGGGAAGCCTCGTGGGCCCGAAAGGGAAACAGAGAGTTTACAAGTAACCAAGGGACAACTCTCTTCGCAAACTCTTAAACTATTACGCCACCGTGATATTCCACGATCTGCAGGTAATAACTTATATCATCCGACTCTGCGAAGCTATGTGAAGAAGCGGTAGTGGAGGATCTGTGAGAGAGAAAACAGCAGTTCTGGCTGAGGGCGCCGAGGTGGAAAGAGCATTCGCAAAGCCTGCAGGAGCTTCGTCAATTATAAGACCAAGATAACTACTCTTCGTCATCCTGACTTAACAGTTACTGCATCTCGAAGGGCTATGGAGAAGTTCACTCCGACTTCTACTAGGGAAATGCAAAGTACTCACGTCGTGGAATACTAGCAAGAGGGGATTGCTGTATGAAAAGAGAGATCCACACGATATGGGGTAATTGTCGCTCTATCTCCCTGCTGACTATAATCTACAAACTTATCAAAGTTTCATCCCTGAAGCGGGGACGATCCAATTGAATACTGTGGCCATGACAGAAACGAATGGAGACGGTACTGGTGCCCGCTTGAGGAACTTTTGCTCAAACTTTCCAGTGCCACTCTCGAGAACATCATGCGTCATATGGAATGGGAAGTCATGAGTCGCTACACACGTCATCTCCGCTTTGCAGAACACTACTCGAGCTTACAACACCGGACATCGGGCCGGTGGAACAAATGCTGGCCGAGATCGATAGCGCTTGTGGGAAGATCGGCTTACGACTGACCGTAAAGAAGACGACGCTCATGAGAAATGGAATGGTACCTGTAGCTACTTCTACGTTTGGAAGAAGGATCATCCCTGAATGCTTTTGCTACGTGTATTTAGACCGAGAAATCAATGCGATGAACGACCCAACACCGGAGCTGGGCAGAAGGAAACACACGGCGTGGGGAGCATTCAAGAATATTGAGGTAGTAGTAAAGAAGACAAAAATCATCCTGCTTCGCGCTCACTATTAAGACACTACTGTCCTCCCTGTTTTGACACTTACCTCACAGTCAGAAACTTAGGCTTTTCGAAAGCAGTATGAGCATACATTCAGCGTCATTCAACGCGCTGTGGAAAGGACGATGCTCGGAATTTCCCTACCGACGCAAGTGCAAAAGGTAATCCGGAGCTGAGCTCCTTCATCAAACGAAGATCAGGAATAGTACTGCTTACGATGAGAAATCTAAGATTAGGTGGGTCCTACACGTTATGCGACATGTGATGACCGTTAGAGTATTGCTGATTGGATTCCAAATGAACCCCAGTAGGCCACCAGTGCGATGGTCACCCTTCTTCGCAAAAGCCGTGATTGAAAGGAATGCTTTGCACCGTGTCTCTTGGCCAAGAACAATCCACTGGACCACTCTGGCACGCAACAGATACCAGTGGAGATGCTACTGGTGCCTGCTCGAGGAAATTGATGATCAGTGGAACGTCAGGTGATACAGGTGCTTGTTTCTGCTAGTGATTTAGGGCCTGGGCACTTTTTATTCCGACAGATTCCGCGTGAAGTGCTGAGCCAGAGTTTTGACAATAATTGATGGAAGACTTTTAGAATGTTCTGCCTTGGTACTATCTGAACCGGGCGAAGAACAATTCTCCACCGACGTGATGGCACGTCAAATGCGGAAGGGGGGACTGGAGTGACGACAGATCGGTCCTGTCTAAGGGTACAGATAGGCAGGTAGATGTGCTGTAGAGAGGATCCAAACAGAAGTAGTAGATGACCTTCTACATTGCTATCCGAGATGCAGTAAGTGTTCCATCAGGAGGACATTCGACGTTCTCTGCAAATGCTCTTTACGGCCTCGACGGCTTCGTTCATACTGCTGCTCTTCTCTGTTCTGTTTCAGATCTCCTCTCATCGCTTCCCCGCATAGCTTCGAAAGTTTAGATGATGGTTGATGATTGCCTGCAACTCGCACGATTCTACGCCGGCGTACTGGCTCGAGGGCTTCAAAAAGAGTCATCTCTTTGCCACTTGTAGGCTCTCTGCTTTCCTAGCACTATCGTGAAGATGCTCGACGAGCCTGTTGTATTCTTCGTCGATGTCGATAACGGAATCTTCCCACTTACTCGCAAGGGAAGTGGTCCTAGTCGATGGGGGTCTTGGGCCTTCGTTTCCCAAGCTTCATAGCTCTCCACGCACTGAGAAGTGGAATCTTGCGCGGAGGAGACTATGGTCCGAGAAGGTAGTGTGGTCGATTTCATTATGAAACCGTCCACCAGATGACTTCTATGTCCATCGCAAATGGGAGGGCTTCTGGAACCGCGGGATTCCATCGATGGTGTGGGTCGACATGATCAACTCGGATAGCCTTTCACCATGCCATTCCATTCCGTGAGCCCCGATGTGGAGCTCTTCACGCGTTCATCTGCGGCCAATCCCGGCGTTGAAATTACTGATGAGGACCTGGAAGAAAGTGCGGTCTCCTCTGTAGAGCCTCTCTATAATCGTACAAGCGCTTCCAACTTTTTCCTTCGTAGTTTGATGTTGGTGCGTAGGCAACGTAGAGCTGGGCTTCAGCCACATCTTCTCAATCGCAATGGGGTTGTCAAGCTTTCGTACAAAATAATGTTCACGGCCAAGTGCGGGTTGACGAGAACAGCTACACCGCCGACTCCTCTAGCGTTCCAAGGAACAGTTCTTCTCCGGTCTCAAATACAGCGTGTAGCCGACGATGCCTTCTCGTCTCGGCCAGTCCGATGACGTCGTACTTGAACTTGCATCATCAAATCTTCTATACATGCTTCAATGTGAGCGTTCGTTTATGAAAGCATAGATCGCCATCTTAGTCCTTCGGCTTCTGGACAGCTTGCTTTCCCCTTGAGTATTTAGCAGCTCTCCCGTGCGGTCCTACTCAACGCTGCCGTACTCGAGGCTCCCGCAAGTTTAGAGGAATGATGCCTTTTTGTATAACTATTTTTGGCAAATAGGTACCCAACGTGTAGCCTGCCAGGCTTTAACGTGGGGTCGGGTTGACTCCGGGTGCTAGCCAGGCTATCCCGGAGTGGACGAGGGACTTAGCTTCTGAAGGTGGCCTCGAATCGCCTCCCAGATACCTCCCACTTAACGAGTGCTTTTGGCTGACTCGATTTACAGGATGCCGATTGCACCCTCAGACTCTTAACACACTTATGCAGTACCGGCAACTTTGGTAGGCGATCTACTCCCCTATCCACCATCTGGGACCGTCCTACGTAGCCTCGTCACTAACCGACTAGAGTTCTTTGAGTGAGAGAGTAATTCAGTGAAAGAGATTCGCAGCAACGAACAGTAAGACAGTTAGATACATTGCTTGGTTACTGCCCATCTGGGCCCTACCCACTTTCGAAATAGTGCTATTTGAGAGCATACGTATGGATTTGGAGAAATCGGTCACAGTCAGTCACAACTATCTATGGCTACGTGGGTGCATCTCTCACAAACATGAGGAGAACCACGTGGCTATTGAACCTCCCTCCAAAAAATTTGGTAGAGCCAGAGAAATTCAGATGGCGGCCATTTTAGAAGCTTCTCAAAAAGAACTTGAGGAGTCCTGACTAAGAATTCGAAAACACCGCGGCGGTTCTCGATACACAATGGTTCATTGTATTAGGGTGTCCATAAAGTTCGTTGACCATTTGAAAACATCGTCGCGTTACGCAACTCGCTGTGAATTCCGCAATACTGAAAGCACTCGCCTAGGGCTATCTTCTGAGCTAGCTAGCTCTAAATTTCCTTTCCTGCTTTGCTGGTCTACTACAACCTGGGCGTCTCCAGACGTCAGGCCACGACCAGAATGCTCAGCAGTTTGGCGATAACACCCCTTCTAAGAGCTGGATGTCAAAATGGTGGACTCGCTTCACCAATGGAAACTATGGCATTGAAGCTATGCCGAGGCGCGGTCGCCCAGCCTCCGTCGATCGACGAGGCATTCTGGATGCCTTAGACGTTGAACCGACGTCGTCCTTGCCCCACTCAAGCAGGGTCACACAGGTACCCGTTCCACCATCCACAATGTCCTTATTGAATCTGGCAAGGTGTCGAAGAGGCGTCGAGTTGTCTCTCACGACCTCACGCCGGCACAGGCAAGGAAGCGGGTTGCGGTGTGCTCCGAGAACCTCAGAGACTTAGAGGTCTGAGGAAGATTCTAGACACCCACACTTGCCAAGATGAGAATGGGTCGACTACTCTAAATCTGCCAACAAACCAGTCTGGGTGAATTTCGATGCGTCCCCGCCAAGTCATGCAAAGAGAAGTATGCATGGAAAGAGTCGCCTTTTGTCATTCTGGTTCTCTCGCCACGGCGTCGTCCACTGCAGCATCCTACCCAACAATGCCACAGTGACGGCAGAGACCCTCTCTACAGAATTGCACGAGGTCAAGGTGGAAGCTGCCGCCTCGTCCCAGAAACTTGCAGCTCCGTGGTTGCTCTGGGAAAACGCGCGCCCCCACAAAGCGAGAGATAATCAGGCCGTCCTGAACAGGCTGGGCATCAAGACGATCATGCATCCACCGCTTAACTCGGACATCAGTTCATGCGAATACCACATCTTCCGGTCCATGCAAAATTTCTTGGACGGAAAACAGCTGAAGAACGAGCGTGATCTCGAGGACGTGATCGAGGATTGGGCCGAGTCGCGGCCGGCCGGCTTCTGGGAGGATGGAATCGCCTCTCTACCCGATCGTTGGCGAAAGGTGGTGGGTATTCATGGAGATTATATCATGAACCAGTAAGTTCAACTTGGTGAGTTATCTTTGCATGCTCTGAAAAACGAATGGCCAACGAACTTTATGGACACCCTAATATCATGGTATACATGGTCAAACTGCTTCGATTCATTCTGAAAAAAACCCATACTTAGAATCTTTCAGTCATTCACTTTCAGAAATGGATTGAACTATAAAACAACCAAGACAGATACTTTTGGCCTTATCTGTATCAGGATCTTACGACATAGATAGAGACGTATCCTCTATGCGGAAAAGTAAATACATCTACAAAGCACATTATTCGGGAGTGGTTGGGGCTTTTTCTTGCCCTTTCCTCTCACGAAGACCTTTTAAACGAGTTCACGCTGTCGCTATTGCTTCGCTACCATTTCATACGGACGAGAGTGATATCATAACTATATCAGCGTATGCCCTTAGTGAGTTCATGTTTTGAACATCGCGTGCAGATCATTCAACCAAGTCCGTGATTCAGGTACTGGAAATGATTTCTTTTTGAAGCAATGTACTCGCAAAAATTTCATGGGATCTCTTCGAAGGCGGCACATTCCATAGCAGATTCGTCAAACAGAACTTTGTGCTTTCCTGGGTCTGTGATTTTCGGTCATATGCTTGCCTGTTGAAGCCATAAGTGTGAGAACAAGACAGATGTCTGGCTGATAAGATTGGTTTGAAAAAGGGCTGCAAGCATTTGCCGCTTGCTTCACCTGATGATGAAGATGGCTCTCCTTGTTGGTATGATGTTTCTTCGGATGTACTTTCTCAATAAACAAAATTTTCGTTATTTTCAGCAACGCTATGCGGAATAGTACTTTCTATGCCACGTGACATAAAACTCGATGGAGGAATTGACGAATGTGGAGCAAAGTATATAAAGTTGATAAAGTTCCTCAAAACTGGAGACGGTCAGTGAAATTTCATTATAATTATGGTGCTGCCGTAATGTTCAGTGCTTTATTTAATTGCGAGCGAAATGCTTTCGTTAACTTCTCCATTTTTAAGGAATCAATTTCCTCACAACTTCAGTCTGTCACATTTTCAAAATTTCAACATTTAGACAAATTCGATATTGTTTGTGAAATGTGCCTCGATATGGTCCTCATTGCAGAAACGTACGCGGAATGTGGAGAGGTACTCAGCTAAAAATATACTTGAATTCCTTTTTTATTCTGGAGTTTGATGGATTGTTTTCGTCAAACACGCTAAGGGCTTGTTGTAGGTGTGAGTTTTGGATACGGTAAAAGGTATAAATGGTGGGATGTTCATGGGCTCCATGAAATCTCGCGTGAGCCTGGGAAAATTTCAACATGACATTTGATAGCCACTCCGAATTTTCAAATGAGTTCCGAGGCAATTTCCAATTCCTATCGAATACGAACACGAATGGCTTAGAAGTACAAGTTTAAGTTCATCTTACGCTTGCCATATAGTTGCTATACTGGAAGTACAAGTTTAAGATCATCTTATGCTTGCCAAATAGTTGCTGTACTAGTACGAATTGAGCAATTGTAAGAAAAAAGGTTTTTAATTCCATTGAAAGTCACCAATGCATTACCGTCAAGATAGTTAGGAAGCGTATTCAATACGGGAACGGAAACGAGGGACAGCGACTTGATAGGCGTTCATGCCGTCTTGGAATTTTACTAAGGTATTTTACTACTATTTAACTTGTTAACGATGGGTTACCCAGATGCTTCTCGAGTGTGATAAACCTAGATTCTAAGGTAAAGTATCCTATGACGATATTTTTCGATCACAACACATAGCTGTGTCGTAACTGCAGGCCGAAGTTGAAGCTGCATTGGAAAAAAAGTGCGATAAGGACTTCAGCTCAGCTGCCACTGATAAGCTCTGCCGCAGCATGATCGAGAAAATAGCACATGTAAGTTAATGAAGTTTAAAATCGAAATTAGTTATGATTTGCACCTTGTGAAGTATTAAGATAGAGCAGTTCACTGATATCACGTCCTTTCTTGATCATTGACGGTCGCCTTTAACTATAGGAAATTTTGCCCGCTTCAACAGCAGAACCCTGGCCCTGTTGAAGACGATCACATCAGAAAATCGAACGGTTGAAATCACTACGTAGTTTTATCTAAAATCCTCTTAAGATTCAAGATATCAGAAAAATACGAAGATGAAAAGTATGTACTAGTTACTTTGGTTCCCGGGGAAATATTGGTGCGATTTTATTTATTTTCTACACAGATGTCAGATTATGAACCTTTGTCCCACCAATTGTGGTTAATATAGAGTTAGAACTCTGCGGAGGGTGATGACCTCCGCTGTTTTGCCCTTAACATAGGGTGTGGTTAAGCACAGCTTTTCTATTCTGTGTTACTCGAGTTGGAGAAGACGTGCCACGTTTTGATCGCAAATTTTACTCGGAAGAACACTATGTGAAGCATGTAAGTTAGGCAAGCATGAACAACACAGTTTCGATGTATACCAGCCCGTTCAGAATTCTTCAAGCCTGAGATTCTAGTGTTCAATCGAGTGATTTTTGTAGTGCTTTCCACTATAGCGAAGTAGTAGTGGAAATGAGACACTGTATAATGATACTGACAAACTTTAGTAGCATGGCATTGCATGCCAGGTCAGACAAACAATCGAAAAGCATTGGTCATATATCCTCTTTCAGGAAGTTATCGAGGACACCGAAGAGGATCCTTCGAAAGTCTGCTACAAGGTTATTCACAAGGAGTGCAGCTACAGCATGGTCTAAACTTGTCCTATTGACAGGGTTTGCATTGGAGAGAAGTTTTATTGGTGCTTAGAGTCAACACATGTGAAAGACACCTATATAAAGGAATATGTAACAGGACTAGATCAATAAATATAATGTACAGTCATGCATAACTACCATGAAATTTAAAGGCACAGTTTACGATAATTTTGGGTAATCCAGATTATGATGAAAAATGGAAGACAAGGTCGAAGATAGTGCGATGAAGGTGGTGGTGTTTCCGAAGTGAAAAAATACTTCGAAAAACCGTTAAACAAGGGGCTGGACGGGAATGAGTTCAGAAGAATGAAGAAGAGTGGAGCGTTTGGACGAGCTATACAGTGTGTCTCACTGCGTACGTGTGGGTCCTGGTACGAATAACAGACTATGGTAAGCAAAAATTCATTCACTTATAAGCAAGGAAGGAAGGAAAACAAAAGGGAAAAAGAGGAAGAGGAAAACAATATAAGGAAACAAAAAACCCTAGTAACAGCAAAAGAAGCACACTTTTTCCAGCCTCTAGGAGTACGAAATTAAATAAGGAATCGCGGCAGCAAAAAGAATAACAGAGGAAAAAAGAATGGGAGAAAAACACCGCCACATCACTCGGCGACCAGTTAGTTGTGTGTGTGTCCTAGGACGAATAGTTGTAATCTGTATTGTCTTGACACTCGTCCGACGTGATGACGTGACATCGAACGAGAGGCGGGAAAGCCATTGACGCTCTCACCCATTGAATTATCGTGAACTGTGCCTTCAAGAGCAGTCATAGGTTGCTCTGAAAGCTCAGATTGTGGAGAACGTTGGGAAGTACATCCAGTCGTTGTGATTGTCAGAACGAAGCTTTTTTTTTGTGTGAACAACAATGTGCTCATCGACAGTCTTTCGAACACATCTTATCACTCCAAAGGAGAAGGGATCGATGAGATATTTTCTAGATCCATTACGTTTACAAGTAATTTCTCCAAAATTTATACGTAAACGGGCGTAATCTATAATAAATATCGAAACTTATGACCATCGAAGTGGTTCAGAAAGAGTGTTGATAAACACTGACGTCAGACATTGCACGTTTGCAGCTTTCTTTAAATATTCTTTAAATTAAAAATAATTCGTAGTTACTTTGAGTGGTACTGTCAACGATGAAGCCGTTCCTGTCTGTCAATGAATATATGCAAGGTCGAAAATCAACACAGGACTTTACTACTTTACTTGCCGTACCAGTACTACTTATATATCTCTCAAATCAAATGTGGCATTCTCCACTTCCATGTTTGCACTTTTCGAGGTCCTTGTTAGGAAAAAGCTCTTGTCTTATAACTATGTACGTTACGTAGTGTTGTTAGATATAGCGGTGGTTTCCCACGCTTGCCTTATGCAACACCTTCAACAAATAAATGAATAAATAAATAAGATGAAGCACCGTGATTAGATAAGGATAACACCGGTGAATTCACCTTCTCGTCCTCGGAACTCCTCTCCATCTGGGCAAGGTGAAAGTATAAGCAAGTGTCGCCAGAATTTGGTGGGGAACTGGTTGATTGGCCTGTCTAGCATCGCGATAAAATGTACAAAATTTGCCTCGTATTCAGGTGAAGTGGAAAATGATTAGGGGAAATGAGTTTTCTGAGTCTCACACATAGAGACATGGTTCTACGCACTTTTCAACAAATCTACGGGGGCGCGCGATTCACGCGTGGCCCCATTAGAGCTCTTCGCGCATGCAGCATCGCTTCAGTACTCTTCAGCTGAGATGGACCGGACAAGACTCGCAGTAGTCCGCAACTTGACTATGATTTGGAGCAAATCACTTCACTACGGTACTGAAGCCTCTTCGAGATCAAGAATTCACTTGATAGGTCAACAATTTGCTTGACAAACGTTCAAAATAAGAATAACTTCAAATTTTTTGGTCCTAGAAACACAATGCCTCTTTGAACGTGCATAGTTATTCACTTGTTTCTTCTATTATGATGGTAGGCATGATGTTATAGCGCTTCTCGTCCGATGACCTCATTATATTGACGCATGAATCGCACCACACCCCAAAGTTACTGTTACCAGTAAGCCCTGTGAATTAGGTGACTTATGACACATCATTGGTTTTCGTGAATAGGATTCACTATAGTCGAATACACAGTTCACGATAACTCTGAAGTACCCTCACTAACAATACAGTACCGTTCAAAAAGAAACCACCTTGAACCTTTTCTGCCATAACTCATCTCAAACTTAATCTTTCCACCTGATTTTATGACAGGACACTTTTCAAACATTATCGACTCTCCTGCGATGCGGAATTGGCGGTAGCTCACTTCCGGCCAAGTAGGTGAATTTTCTTTTTTAAAAAACGTGCGAAAGGGGCATGTTCTCTAGGTATGTTTCATTGTGTTTTTCAAGTCTAGAAATATTGGTGATGCTTCTATTCTGTTAGCTGACCGCTTTCAGTGGAGAGACAAAACTCTGGCTCTCGCCTTCTGACCATGGAGCAGCTCTCCGCCACTGCCACGGGTAGTAAGCAGGAATTGACCCATGATCAACATCCAAGGCTGTTTGCTGTGATTGAGTTTCTCATAAACCCAATCTAGCGAGCCAGCTCTTGAAGGTTACGGATTGCCGCTCTTGAGGACGATAGGAAGAACATTTGTGCGTCGACTCAAGACTCCAGACGAGAGTCTTCCGATATAATGACCGAAATATCGACGACGGCGACGTCGCTACCATCTAGAGGTACCGTCAACAGACGCCTGTGGGTTGCTGGAATATATGGAGGAAGACTTGTCAAAAAGTATCCCGATCTCTGAAAAAACAGACGAGCTCGACTTTAATAAGCGCGTCAGCACCTTCACTAGACCTCCAACTAATGACGCGAAGTCATCTAGAGTGACTAGATAAAGATTGTTTGGCTTGGTAACCTTGGGTTTCGTTCGTAGACGACCTTTCAAGACACAAGTTCCGACCACAAGTACCATTGACAACTTTCAGGCATGGTGCCAGCTCAGTATTGGTTTGGGGATGGTCTCCGAGTCTAGGCATGGGGTCCATGCTCCATATTCTCACCACTACAGCCCAGCAGATGTACTTAGACATTTTGGAGAAATCCATGCTACCTCTCTCCCGTCCTGAGCACGGAAGAAAATTTACTTTCCAGCGAGATAACGACCCCGGACACGGATCTAAAAGGGGTGCGCGAGTGGTTGACTCATCGGGAAATTCGATGCCTTGACTCACCCAGCCAGCCCCCTGACCTAAACATCAGTGGACCCTCGTGGTAAGAACTCAAGAATGGGATAGCCGACAAAACAGTCAAAAATGCTGCTCAGAATTTTGACCTATTTGAAGAAGAATAGAAGGAAATCGATGAGTGCCTGATCGACATCTTGGTCGAGTTAATGCCCCGCAGATGCCAAGCCGTCATCGATGCCAACGGCTTCACTAAAAAGTATTAGACTAGTAGTTAAAATTAACTTCTGATCTCATAATGATAGCGTCCAAGTCAAGTGACTTATTTCAAATTATTGAAACTGATGTTGTCCTGTTCGGGAAAAAATGTGAAAAGTGGCCTTTTGAACGAAATAAAAAGGAGTTTTGAGAGTTCTGTGATGGAGACGTTAAAAGTCGCCACTGTTGACAACATACCAAAAAATCAGTCAAAAACATTGAGTTCGAGATGATTTATGGCAAAAAAAGTTCGAGGTGATTTCTTTTTGAACGGTACTGTAAGTTAGGAAACAAAAGTTTAGGTGAAGAATGGCGAAGGAAACGAGAACTTTAAAAAAATACTTCAAAAATATGGCTCTCTAATGTAGTGGAATTCGAAGTTGCTTAAGCCTGTCACCGAAACAGCCTTTTCCTCATCTGTGTCCTCTCTCCAAAAGAACGCATAAACGTGCTGAACGATACTCCGTCTATGGCAGATATGGCACTGTTCAACTGCAACAAGACTTAGGAAGGAACACCATTGAAGACCTCATTTAATTCATGAATCAACTGAAAAATCGGTAGGGGCCGTCCAAAAATAATAGAAACTTTCCCGTTATGTTTGCAACTTCTCCAATCTTGATAGTTCATTATTCCTAACCCCCTCCCCCTCTCTCTCACAGAGGAGTCGGATGCAGTTGAATAGATTAAATAAATATTCATTCTATCCAGAATTGTTGTCGTGCCAAAGGGTGTCACGTAGCCATCGTGACCAGTGGCGACGCTATCGATGGTATTTCCTGCCCTTTGGGACCAAATCACAGCAAAAACTATGGAAGATACATGATGACTGGTGATCGATCAAATGTGTGAATCCGGACGAGTCATACGGCACGAGCCATTCTTCGATGGTTTACAGATATATCACAATCGAAGAGGTGACGTCAACTACGATTGCCCTATGCGAGTACGTTACCTTGTTGACGTTGTTTACACAACTCAGGGGAAACTTTACTGATGCTGTACTACTAATCCTACTCAAGTCCTTGACAGATCGCTTCGTGATGGGCAGTAGAGTAATACTGCCATTTTATATGTATACTAGGTGGTCTCCGCTCAAGTTATGAGTAATTATGAAAATTTTAAACTAACTTAAAAATTTTAAACCTTTAAAACTTGAAAAGTTTTAAAGGTTTCACTACTGATTCTATCGATACCAGTAAAGGATGACTTGACATCGAAGGTTCCCCTCTACTTGTTCGGCTGGTAAAACTGGGTAGTCACGTGGAGTACGCTGGTTATTATCACTCAGGGTGATGAATAATAGAGTGATTATCACGTACTAGTAAACCCTCCGCCTATTGCCGATTTAGGAGCTGGAACGAAAAACCTTGGCTTTCCCATTATTTCCGGTCCCTCCTAGTAGCCGTCGATTAACGAGACAGAGCCGGCCTGATTTTCAGGGTGATGTCCTAATTCTTGGGTGACATCTCCTCGATCAAACAAAACAGTGAAATAATATACTGAGAAATGATCCGATTGATTTATCAGGGACAGTGATTTAACGATATCTCCGCCAA